GAGGTCGACTAGGACTAGGATGCCTGGGCCACCCAGTAGTTCGTACCGCAGCCGTCGGTGCGCACTTGTGCATGATCCCCCAACACAGTCTCCAGATTCGGCCGACTGTACAGCAGGCAGAGTCTCGAAGAAACCTGATTCAGAGGATCGACTGCTAAGCGAAAGTGCGACGACGGCTTCATAGTGTCGCATCAGCCTGCACAGCTCCAATTTTCTATTGTAGAGAGCTCTACGGCAAGTGTGCTGTGTCCTTGCGGTATCATGATCATGAGGCTCGTAGACTGAGGTACGGCTTTGCAGCACCATCGGCTCAAGTTTTGTCTTTCAAGGACGTCTGAAAAGCTCGAAAAGCTTCGACGACTGCTGGCTTTGAATTGTGGCTCGCGGGAGGTTTTCCTCTCAGTCCTGGCGTTTAAGGGACGTGGGGCGATCGTTGTTTGTGATCAGTCTCCCAACCCCGATCTAGCCAACCAGCTAAACCGCCCGGATGTCGTAAGCTGCAAGAACCAAAGCAAGGACAATCATGGCGGAGACTTTCGCATTTAACCCGGACATCCAGCAGCTGATGAGTTTCTGGGCACATTCCATCATGTACCGTAGACCTGTCATGTAATTTCCGAGAAGATCCGCATTTCTCCAACGACCAACAGATGTTCTAATGCCCGAAAGGTGTGCGTGTGCATATATGTATATATGTCTATCTGTCTATCTATCTATCCATCCATCCATCCATCCATCCATCTATCTATCTTTCTATCTACCTATCTATCTACCTATCTACCTATCTACCTATCTATCTATCTATCTATCTATCTATCTATGTATATATGCATAAATATATACATGTTCTGCGATATTCCGCGCACTGTATGTGCACGAATGCTGGATCCGAGAGCAAACAACGATGTGTGAAAAGCTGGGTTTAGCGTGTTCTATCTGTTGCCGAGGCTTGCTCATCAACTACTCCAACAAGGAGATCTTCCTGCGAGAGCTCATCTCCAACGCCTCGGATGCAGCTCGCAGCAGTAAGTCCAACGATTCAGGATCCATTGGACTGACGAAGAAGTTGACACGACGGTACTTCAAAAAAGCCGAACAGAGGCTTTGGACGAGATTCGCTACGCATCGATCACCAATCCAGACAAGTTCGAGGCAAGGAGTGTGGGAACTGAACTGCGTCTCCGGATCGTGGTTTCCTCGTACGGCAGGAGCAGTCGTGACAGGCAGGTTTGAGCCAATAGACCACAGATGTTATGTCATATAATATAGTACATCATGCAAAGTACGGGTTGGCATCGCAGTTGTCCTGAAGAAAGGAGGGGGATAATTTCCGCCACCGCAGGCGCAGCCCAACTTCATCAAAGCTCCTGGGCATGTATGGGAGTCGTCTGGTCGGCCTTCGTGTCCTGTTTGTAGGGATGATTTGCAGAGTCAATGCAGGCGGCTGTTGGATGAGTGGCTGCAGTTTGCTCGTCTCGTGCGCCTGAGATCATCCCGGACAAGACCAATTCGACCTTGACCATCGAAGACTCCGGCATCGGCATGACCAAGAACGACCCTTGGCCGTGAATCGGAGGTTGCTGCAGACTTCAAGACCGGATGTCTTGGGAGGGTCTCGTTGTAGCGTCCGGTGCTCGCTGCTTCAGCCTATGGACACCACAAGCTGGCACGAAACAGAAGAGGAGGCTGTAGAAGCCTCTTCTGCAAGAGGAATGCCCAGGACTTTTGGAAAACGCAAGCTACAGGTCGCTGGTAAGTCTATACATCCTTATCGCCACCCCTCAAGCTTCAGAAGCAGGGTGAATGCAAGCGAATCCCGAGGAGTTGATCAACGACCTCGGGAGGATTGTCGCTCGATCGACTTATCTATGATGTTCGCTGTTTTCAGGCTGAGGCTGAGGCTTGTTTGAACTGGATGCCTCGAAGCCGCAGCAGCACTACTGCTTCTTCCCCATTCAGTATTGAGGCCAAGTCTGGCACCAAAGCCTTCATGGAGGCCAGCGCTTGGGGAAACGTCTGAGCGTTTGCCTACCGTTTCGTTTTCGGTTTCTGCTCTTGATGTTGTTGAAGAACATGTTCCTCCGAGCGTCTGAGGAGGTGTGAAGAGAATACAGGCCTAAACCTTGTGCCGGGCGTGAGTTTCTGGTCGCGCTGTATCGAGCTCCTTTAGAATAGTCCCATGGAAGGCCATGGCGGCAGGCCACGACATCTTCATGATCGGCCAGCTTTTTGGATGCAACAGCCTGATTGACGGTCTCTCTGGTCCAAGTACTCGTAGGACTTACAAAGAGAACTTCAGGCCCTTTTTCGGCAAACCATTGCATTCTTTCTTGCACCTCCGCCCCCGCCCGAGCTTGTCCTGTGTCCCTCCCTCCCTTCAACCCCCGACGTTGTGACATGCGCAGTCCCAATCCGGAGCAGGTTCGGCGTCGGCTTCTACAGCGCGTACCTCGTCTCGGACAAGGTCCGCGTCGTCAGCAAGCACAACGACGACGAGCGGCTGGTCAAAACAAGGTAACGCCATATGAAGCGACCCGCACGATAGTAGGGCTGCTTTTTGCGGCCAAATGGCAGTTTTGCTGATGTAAAAAGATGATTTCTGGAATATCAGTTCTTGTTTTGGGAGACTTCCTTGCGCAACCTCGAAAGTTTTCGGGGCTTGCTTTCGTGATTGTTTATCTTTGGAGCTAGTGGTTTTGGTGGTTCTGCCACAACGAAAACAAGGTTTTGCGTTTGATGGCTTGATTGTCCGGCAGCATGGCCTGACAGTTTTCCAGGTAAAATGACCTTTTTGGATTTCTGCCGAGGTTTGGGTGTGTGGGGCGTCGGTTTTGCCAAGCCTTTGTAGTCTTTGGGGTGCGTTAAGGCAAAAATCGCAGCTTTACCGATGTAAAACGATGATTTCTGCTTTATCACTTCTTGTTTTGGGAAAAAGCCTTGCGCAACATGTACAGTTGTCGGGTCTTTCTTTCATCATTGTTCCATCCTTGGAATTAGTGTTTTGTCGTGGTTTTCCGAAGCAAAACAAGGTCGTGGGATGTCGGCCTGGGCCTGGGATGGATTTTGTTTGGAGTTTGAGGTTTTTGGCTCAGACGCTATAAAACTGTACTGGTATACTACTATAGGACAATATGGGACTTAATAGATTAGTTGGGGCTGAGAGGGTTCAAGAGCCCCTGACCCCGTGGTTTCAGTCATGAATCCCTTGCTGCCGCATATGTTGCAGAGCTTAAGAGTCTTTTGAGGCATGCCGGGAGAAAGCCCAGCCTCAAACCTACATTGAGCAGAAAAGACTGGCACAGCCTAGGCATGTAGGTCTGCAAACGCAAGCTAACTAGAGAGTATATGGCAGCAGCAGGGACAGCTGCAGCAGCAGTAGCATAGCAAGGGTTGGGAGTGCAGCAGAACGAAAAATACAAGTGGTAGCACTGCTACTCCTAGGACTGCTCAGTAATGGACGTCGCCAGACAGAACGAAACTAGCCCCCCCCCCCCCGACACCCAAGAAGCAGCCAAAAACAAGCAAAAACAAGCATAATGCGCGGGTCAGTTGGTAGTGCGTTAGCCAAAACAAGCCTGTGAACAGATTCCGAACAGAGACACGAGCTCGGAATTCTTCGTTTCTTCGCTTGTTGGGAGTGTCAGCTGCATCGCGTCGAGGCAGATTTCGGGGAAGTGCCGGGGTTGCAGAAGTCAGTGCGATCGAAAATTCGGGGCCAAGTGGCAGCGACTGAGACTTCCCTGGGGGCTTTCCAAAGCAATTCTCCGAGGCAATACATCTGGGAGAGTAGCGCCAGGGGCTCTTTCACCGTGCAGAAGGCCTGCGGATTGTCGGTTCAGCCTGACGCTGTAAGCCGAATCTGGTTAAGTGCTTAATTGCGGCTGCTGCATGCAGACTGCGTTGTCACGTATCTTAATGACATCCTTGCTTGAAGTGTGGCCTGAAAGGACACCGAGTTGGTGCATGGCAAGATCAAGCGTGGCACCAAAATCATTTGCTACCTGAAGGAAGACCAGTCCGAGTTCCTGGAGGACGCTGGAGTTCGAATTTGTTGCTGAACAGATGCGATAGAGAGATCTCTAAGTCTGCGGAGGAAAAAGAAAATGCCTGCCTGCCCGCCCCGGCCCCAACTCCCGATCGCCACACCTCAAAAGCCACCTCAAAAGCTTTCGTAATGCATGTGCAGCTGCAATTCCGCAAGTACGCTCCCGGCTCGTGACGCTTTGACACGGCTTGCTCAGGAGCGACGCTTGAATGACCTGGTGAAGAAGCACTCCGAGTTCATCGGCTGGCCCATCGAGCTGTACGCGGAGAAGTCCAAGGACAAGGAGGTGACCGCACCCCGTGATGCCTACTCTTCGGAGCACATGCACATACCGGCGCCGACTCAGCCACCAACAGGGGCGAGCATGGCTCACAACGTTGCTGCTTGCCAGGCCGACAGCTTTCTGCAGAGGCCGATGCCACAGCCGAGTTCGTGCGCCAGCCTGGCCAGGAGCTCACCGCCCTCGGCGCCGTGGACGCAGGCACATCTGTTGTCAGAGCAACCGACCAACGGATGGCAAGTCAGACCTTTCTCACGTGCAGACGACAGGCTGCGCAAAGCGTGTCATCACTGCAATATGCCAGACTTGGATGCTGCCCTCCGACAGGGAGCGGGAATGGGTGGCGATGGAGACGGCAAGTCGGCGCTGCACATTGCAGCGCGGAGCGGCTTCTGCGAAGGGCTGCTGAAAATGCTGCAGGCTGGGTTCGACCCCAATCTGCGCGACAGCTGGGGCGGACGTCCAGTCGACGAGGCGGAGTACTGGGCCGTGAAGGCACAAGACGTGAACGTCCGAAGGAGATGCCTGGATTGTCGTAAACACCTCGTGCGTTTCCATGGTCGAAGAGGGGAATTTCACGAGCGATTGGACCAGGATGCCTTCAGAGAGAGATTGAGGAAGTGCGAGGCCATGGCATATCAGCGTGATGGCCGAGACGCTTACATTCCATGGCTCGTTGATTTGGACCGCATGGAGCAAGAGCTGAATCTGAAGGCTAGGTAGTATTATCAGAGGTACCCCTTAAAGGGTACCCCTTCTGAACCCTACTTTTGGCTCTCTTAAAAGGGACCTTATTGAGAGGGTCTATATCCCCAAGGGTCCCTCTAATCCTAGCTCCCAAAGGCCGAGGAGCTCCGTGCAGAGCTGGGATCGCCATCGGCCTCCGCTACGTCGGCAGCCGCGCCCACCTGGACTTCGGCTCTGGAATTCAAGCAGGACTTGGACCTGCCTGATCCAGAGAGCCTTGGGTTCTCCTGGGAGATCAGCGCAGAATACCAGCGACAAGCCGCCACGGGGCGCATCTACGGCAAGGAGCAGGAGTTGAGAAAGCTGGAACGCCTTGCGTACATTGGCGCGGTGCCGTTGGATCCCAAGCACAAAGTGGTTTTTGTCTGATCTCTGCCACTTGGCGGCACAGACACCGCCCGAGGCCCTAGCCCCAACACACCAAACCACGAACTAACCGAGACCCGTCACCTGTTTTTGAGTCTTGAGCGCCCAGGACTCCGAGGAGGAAGAGGGGGAGAAGGACGAGAAAGAGGGTGCCGGCTGCGGGAGGGGAGAGGCGTGGAGCCAAGCGGGCGCTTTGCTGCCGGGTTATCATGACTTGTCTCGGCTTTGGTTTGGGACTGTTTGCATCTGATCTTTTGCCGTAAGTTCTGATCCCGAACGTCCGCCCGCCTTCTGTAGGCTTTAGGCGTGTTTGCCTTTCGAGTGTCTGTGCCAGGTGACGAACCGAAGATCGAGGAAGTGGATGAGGAGACGTCCGATCCGGGTTTGCACTTTCGATGTTCGGATCGCTGCGGAAAAGGAGAAGGCGAAAGAGGAAAAGAAAAAGAAGACCAAGACGCTCGGTGGATGAGTCGATGAGTGAAGCATCTCCGAAATGCTTTCCTAACACCCGTAGTAGAAGCATCCAGCGGAATAGGCAGTCTGATGCCTATGTTTCTTGATGTGTAAAGTTCGTGGAGCATTCGGCCGATTGTACAGCAGGCAGAGTTTGGCAAGAAACCCGTTTCAGAGGATCGACTGCGAAGAGAAAGTGCGACGACGGCTGCGTAGGGTCACGCCAGATAGCCATCAATGAAACAGCACTGATCCGTCTATGAGCTTTGCGTGTCGTCTGCTGCATCCATGGAGCTGGTAGACAGAGGGATGGCTTCGCAGCACCATCGGCTCAAGTTTTGTCTTTCACGGACGTCTGACAAGCTCGAAAAGCTCCGACGACAGCTGGCTTTGAAGTGGGGCTCGTGGGAGTTTGTTGTTTTGAATTGTCCTTCCTTTCAAGACTTGGCTTTTGTGCGACGTGGGGCGAGCGTCGTTCAAGTGTCCCAATCCTGTTCCAGCAGCCCTCGCGCCACTGCCCGGATGTCGTAAGCTGCATCTCAAGAGTATGTCCGATCCACAACCCGATGGAAATAAGCAAATCGTGTGGGTGGAAGTGGATCCGAATCAAGGACAATCATGGCGGAGACTTTCGCATTTAACGCGGACATCCAGCAGCTGATGAGTTTCTGGGCACATTATTTCATCCGGTAGACTCTATAGGCCTGCCATGTAATGCCAACAGATGCTCTGTAGTTGGTCTGCAGTTTTTCACTTCATAAACAGACGCCCGAAACGAGCGGATCATGAGACATTCTGCGCACATGCTGCGCAAGTGCGGGATCCGAGACGAACCCCATGCATGCAACAAGGCGCAACTTGTAGGCCGGTAGGCCGTGGGTTTGTAAGCTTCCATCCGCTGCCGAGGCTTGATCATCAACACCTTCTACTCCAACAAGGAGATCTTCCTGCGAGAGCTCATCTCCAACGCCTCGGATGCACCTCGCAGCAGTAAGTCCAACGATTCAGCATCCATTGGGCTGACTTCTCGTCGTTCACCTCACATGAAGTTCACACGACGGCACTTCAAAAAAGCCGAACAGAGGCTCTGGACAAGATTCGCTACGAATCGATCACCGATCCAGACAAGATCGAGGCAGGGAGTGTGGGAACTGAACCGCGTCTCCGGTGTGTGGTTTCCTCGCGCGACAGGAGCAGTCGTGAGAGGAAGGTTTGAGCTGGTATACCACAGATGTTCTGTCATATAATATAGTACATAATGTAAAATAGGGGTTGGCACCACAGGCAAGCCGCAGTTGTTCTCAAGAAAGGAGGGGGGATGATCTCCGCCGCAGGCGCAGCCCAACTTCTTCATCAAAGCTCCTGGGCCTGTTTGGGACCCGGGTGGTCAGACTTCTCGTGCTTCTTTAGGGATGATAGGGGTTCGGGAGTTTAGGGGGTCTGGCTAGGGTTTAGGGTTGAGGGTCAATGCAAGCGGCTGTTCGATCTTGCCTGTCTCGTGCACCTGAGATCATCCCGGACAAGACCAATTCGACCTTGACCATCGAAGACTCCGGCATCGGTATGACCAAGAACGACCCTCGGCCGTGAGCGAAGCGGAGGTTGCTGCAGACCTCGAGAGGGGATGGCACGGCAACGGGTGTTAAGTTCTGGGAACGGAGCACGTTGTCAAGCGTCCTGTGCTCGCTGTTTCAGCCTGGAGACAACACATCCTCCGAGTGGCACGAGACAGAAAAGGCTGTAGAAGCTTTTTCGGCAACAGGAATGCAAGCTACAGGTCGCTGGTAAGTCTATGTATCCGGCAGCTCTCAGACTTCCGAAGCAGGGTGAATGCAAGCGAATCCCGAGGAGTTGATCAACAACCTCGGCACGATCGTCGCTCGATCGACTTATCTCTGATGTCCGCTGTTTTCAGGCTGAGGCTGAGGCTTGTTTGTTGCAGAGCTGGATGCCTCGAAGCCGCAGCAGCCCTACTGCTTCTTCCCCATTCAGTATTGAGGCCAAGTCTGGCACCAAAGCCTTCATGGAGGCCAGCGCCTGGGGAAACGTCTCAGGGTTTGCCTGCCGTTTCGTTTTCGGTGTCTAGTCGCGATGTTGCCGAAGAAAATGCTGCTTGGAGCGCCTGAGGGGTTGTGAAGAGTGTAGGCCTAAACTCCTAAACCTTGTGCCGGGCGTGGGTTTCTGATTTCTGGTCTCGCTGTATCGAGCTCCTTTTGAATAGTCCTACGGAAGGCCATGGCGGCAGGCGGCGACATCTCCATGATCGGCCAGCCTTTTGGATGCAACAGTCCGATTCACAGTCTCTCTAGTCCAGGTAGGACGCACGGATAGTTAAAAGAGGACGGTTCGGCAAACCGTTGCATTCTTTCTTGCACCTCCGACCCCGCCCGAGCTTGTCCCGTATCCCTCCCTCCCTTGAACCCCCGACGTTGTGACCTGCCCAGTCCCAATCCCGAGCAGGTTCGGCGTCGGCTTCTACAGCGCGTACCTCGTCTCGGACAAGGTCCGCGTCGTCAGCAAGCACAACGACGACGAGCGGCTTGTCAAAGCAAGCCTGCGAAGAGATTCCGAAGCGAGACGCGAGCTCGGCGGTTCTTCGTTTCTTCGCTTGTTGGGAGTGTCAGCTGCATCGAGTCGAGGCAGTTTGCGGCTAAAGTGCCGGGGTTGCAGAAGTCAGTGCGATCGGAACATGGTAAAATGGCGGCAAAGACCGAGCCTTCCCGTCGCCGTAGGGCTGGGGGCTTTCCAAAGCAATTCTCCGAGGCAATACATCTGGGAGAGCGGCGCCGGGGGCTCTTTCACCGTGCAGAAGGCCCGCGGATTGTCGGTCCAGCCTGTGACGCCGCAAGCCGAATCTGGGTAAGTGCTTGCAGCTTCCGCACGCAGACTGCGGGTTCAAGATTGTCACGTATCTTCCTAGCGTCCTTGCTTGAAGTGTGGCGTGAAAGGACACCGAGTTGGTGCACGGCGAGATCAAGCGTGGCACCAAAATCATTTGCTACCTGAAGGAAGACCAGTCCGAGTTCCTGGAGGACGGTAGAGTGCGAATTTGTTGCTGAACAGGTGCGATAGAGAGATCTCTAAGTCTGCGGAGGGCAACGAAAATGCCTGCCTGCCCACCCCGAGTCCCGATCGCCACACCTCAAAAGCTTTCTTAGCACCCTCTCGAGAAGTTTCTGGGATCCCTTTGGCACGGCGTGTTCCGCAGGAGCGGCGCTTGAAGGACCTGGTGAAGAAGCACTCCGAGTTCATCGGCTTCCCCATCGAGCTGTATGTGGAGAAGTCCAAGGAGAAGGAGGTGACCGCCACTTCGCGGCACAGGCACCGCCCGAGGTGACAAGCCCGGATCCCAACCGAACATCACCAATCACCAGCAACAAGCTTTTGACCTGTGCTCGAGCCTTGGACACCACTCAAGGACTCCGAGGAGGAAGAGGAGGAGAAGAAGGACGAGAAAGAGGGTCCCGGCTGGGGGAGTCAAGCAGGAGCTTTTTCTTACGAGTTATCATGGCTTGTCTCGGCTCTGGGACTGTCTGCATCTGATCTTTTGCCATAAGTTCTGATCCCGAACGTCCGCCCGCCTTCTGTAGGCTGTAGGCGGGTTTGCCTTTCGAATGTCTGTGCCAGGTGACGAGCCGAAGATCGAGGAAGTGGATGAGGAGACGTCCGGAGTGTTAGGGCGTTTGCGGTTTTCCAATTTCAAGTTTGGGGAAGGGTGGGAGATTTGCGAGCGTGGCAGAATCCGGGTTTGCACTTTCGATGTTCGGATCGCTGCGGAAAAGGAGAAGGAGAAAGAGGAAAAGAAAAAGAAGACCAAGACGCTCGGTGGATGAGTCGCTGAGTGAAACATCTCCGAAATGCTTTCCTAACACCCGTAGTAGAACATCCAGCGGAATAGGCAGTCTGATGCCTATGTTTCTTGATGTGTAAAGTTCGCGGAGCACCTGTCCTTATAAACCCTTAACCAAGGAAGGTGAAAGAGGTCTCGCACGAGTGGGAGCAGCTTGGCGGGGGGGCATTTTTGCACTGGGAGAGTTGGGCGAAGGCTTTGAGGTTGCTTCAAACTTGTCAACAGGCTCCTTATGTCTTTAGGGTTTGGAACAGCAGTGTTTCTAGCCATGGTCAGGAGTGTCTCGGGTTGTGACCGTGTGAAGCTGCTCCGCATGTCGTGAGGCAGCTGAACAAGAACAAGCCTCTCTGGATGCGCAAGTCCGAAGACGTCACCAACGAGGAGTATGCCTCCTTCTACAAGTCGCTGTCCAACGACTGGGAGGACGGCTTGATCTCCAGCCGAGCACGCCACAGCCCTAATTATGTACAGGTAATTTTGCAAGGTCAGGAAATCTCAGCTGTTAGCAGGACCACCTTGCGGTGAAGCACT